TGCTGGGTTCAAGTTCTCGCTCCTGCCTCTGGACTCCTGCTAACGTGCACCCTGGGGAGCAGCACTTGATTGGTGATTGCTCCAGTGGTAAGTTCCCTGCCACTCACACGCAGAGGCCTGGTTTGCACTTGTGCTTCCCACCATGAGTGGACCAGCCCTGGCTGTTGTGGGCATTTGAAGAATGAGGCAACAAATGGGAGGGGTGTGTGTGTGTAAAATACATATTTAAAAAAAATAAATTCCTTTGTGTCTGAGAGACAGATAGACATAGCTGCTATTATAAGCATCAAAGAAAATATGTATCATGAAAATGTTTTGATAACAGAAAAAGAAATTCTTTGGGAGGCAATGAAAAAATCCATGAAGAGGTGACATTGAATAGGTCTCCAACAGGTAGTCATTTCAAGAAGGATTCTAAGCAGTTCAAACCTACATAGTTAGGTACATAGGTAGGTAAAGGGCAAAATATGTGGCCACCTCCATGTGATTATGACTTCAAGACACTAAGAAACAACATTTGAATTCAATACTTTTGAAGGGTTTTTATGTAGATATCTTTAAATTTCACAACCTTTTGAAGCTATACATTCTTATTATCCCACTTTTACAACTGTGCAAAGTAAGATACACACAGTTTAAGCAATCTCTTCAAAGCCCCAGATCAAGCAGGAATATGAACCAAGGAAACCTGACTTCAGAGTCCACAATCCTAACTTGTTTGTTACTAGGGCTCTGTATGTTTCTAAATTGGAATTTTCACAATTAAAGTGGCTGCTAGGAACATTGCAGTCTTCAGATTTGCTTTTCTTAACATTCCCTTGCACTTTATGTTTTTTAATGGATGAAAAGCAAGTTTAAAAACAAAACCCTACAGCATCCAGATATTCTCAGTGATTTCCTGCCTCATCCTTATCCAAATTTGGGCTCTGCAGACTTCTGGGACAACATCAGGAATGGCGTTATAGTTGAATCCACACAATATTGCCAAGCTGGCCACAAATTAAATCTTAAATAGCTTGTTCAAACTCACAGCATCTGAACTACCTTCATTCAAAATAAAAGCCTAGAAATTAAGTCACAGTTTTAATATGTGCACAGTGAAGTGCAGAAGGCTAAGGTTACAAATACACATATGAATCTCATAAAATCCATACATGCAATCCTGGAGGATAGTTTATGGAGAACCAAATAGAAATTAAGCTAAGTGATTAACAATAATAAGTTTAACAATAGTAAGCTTACTATAATAAATTAGACTAAAATTTAGTATACACATACAAAAACCCAAGACTATGAGGGAATCTTCAAAGAGATCATGGAGGGTCCAACACAGTAGCCTAAGCAGCCAAAGTCCTCACCTTGCATGTGCCAGGATCCCATATGGGCGCCAGTTCTAATCTTGGCAGCCCCATTTCCCATCCAGCTCCCTGTTTATGGCCTGGGAAAGCAGTCAAAGAAGGCCCAAAGCCTTGAGACCCTGCACCCACAAAGGAGACCCAGAAGAAGTTCGTGGCTTCAGATAAGCTCAGCTCTGGCCATTGCAGTCACTTGGGGAGTGACTCAACAGACAGAAGATCTTCCTCTCTGTATATCTGACTTTCCAATAAAAATAAAATAAATATTAAAAAGAAAAAACTCATGGAGAAGAATTATGAAAAAATGTTGCAAAAGTTTTTACACCAAAATATCTTTTTCATTTCATTTTTCTGAGCTTTTTGAAGTAAACTTACTCTCAGACATAAAATTTCTGAGAAAAATTTGTCTCCTCCAAACGCCATCCACAGATACATAGACTAATCCCAACAAAAAAACTTTAAAATCTAATCCATTCAACTAGTTGGCAATTTCCATTATTTACAGGCTATACATTCGGGTTGAAAATTTTGAAGTATTTTCTAACAAACTAATAACAGGAGCAGCTATTATTTTTAACCACCACCTCCCCTCAAAAGAGAGAAGGGGCCAGCACTGTGGCACAGCTGGTAGAGTGACTGCCTAAAGCACTGAGCATATGGGCAATGGTTTGAGGCCCAGGTGCTCCATTTCCAATCCAGCTCCCAGCTAACGTGCCTGAGAAAGCTGCCTGAGATGGTCTTTTTTTTTTTAAGATTTATTTTTATTATTTTTTCATTGGAAAGGCGGATATACAGAGAGAAGAGACAGAGAGGAAGATCTTCCGTCCGATGATTCACTCCCCAAGTGAGCCGCAACGGCCGACACTATGCCGATCCGAAGCCAGGAGCCTCTTCCGGGTCTCCCACGCGGGTGCAGGGTCCCAAAGCTTTGGGCCGTCCTCGACTGCTTTCCCGGGCCACAGGCAGGGAGCTGGAAGGGAAGCGGGGCTGCTGGGATAGAACCGGCGCCCATATTGGATCCCGGGCGTGCAAGGCGAGGACCTTAACCACTTGCGCCACTGCGCCGGGCCCGAGATGGTCTTTTTTAAAAAAGGCAGGAAAGAACCAACAAAGTGTAAGTTTTGAAATAATTTACATAAAAGGAAATCTGCAATGTTATATAATGGAGTGGTGCTTCATAAACATATCAGATAATTCAGAGGTCTTTTTTATTAAATGCATAAAAAGTAGCTCACATTTTACAAGTTCAAAATCAGATATATGAGTATATAACTGATATATTAATAAACTGTATCCACTCAAAAACTCACAGCGGATACTATTTATATTACATTCAGTGTCTGTTTACATGATGTTTAATGCAAAGACAATACAAAATGGACTCCCACCATTTCAGTTCAGTCCATGCTGACATAGATTCAAGACAGGCAATCTTTTTCAACCAGGAAACAGAAGCCTCCCATGCAAAAATACAGAAAGACTACTAATGGATTCTAGTTTAACCTCAAGCTATGTTTCTATGTTACAGAAATATAGCTGAAGTTCTAATTTCTAATTACCAAGATAACAGCATTTCTGATTTACAACTGATTTTAAAATAGTGGATGCTAACATACATTCATTTTGACATCTTAAAAAGTCTTGAAAACTAAAATAATACATATGATCCTGCAAATAGATGTGCTCTGCCATTCATTCGGTAAACATGATTTATTTTAACACCGGTTATAAAAGTTCAATTAATTAACCAGACTTCTATATTTATTTCTTGCCTGGTAAAGTTCAGTCCTAAATCTGAGAGTACGTCAAAAGCAGCTGTTCCTGTGATTGATCCCAAGAGCAACCGGGGAGCTTTTAAACTCCCTCCCTGCTTACACACGTGAATCATGAGTGCCAGTAGACCCCAGTGGAGCCTCAGGATCACCTGGGAAGCTCTTGGATAGCTACAGGGCTCCACACCAGAACTGAGGGCCAAGAATCCAGGGGTTCCACACCACAACTGAGGTTGGTTTTGGAAGTTCCAAGAGAGTGCCATGCAGCCCAGTGTAGGAACACTGACCTTAAACCGCCATGCTGGTGTTTCTCGTTTTCAACAAGCATCAGGATCATGGCGGAGTGTAGGCTTAGAAGACAAACACTGGTTTGCTTTGGCAGATTGAGCAACATGTCCAGGAACCAGCAAGTCACACAAACACTACAGTTGCTCCAAGCCCACTCTGAGAAACAATGCATAGCCTGTGAGATACATCAGAAAAGAGTACATTCAGAAATTCGAACATTGTGCTAACTCCAGCGCATCCTTCCTGAGAGGCAGTTTTAGCAAGTGTTGGAGGACAACACAGCTGTTCTTGTCATTTATTTCTATTCCTAAATATAAGGTCAAAGTTAAGTGAATTGTGAGATCATAATTCATTCATTAAAAGAAGTGAAAAGCTCTTCCAAAGAAATTATTTCTCCCTTTAAACAAATCCATTCTTAGCACTCAATTTAAATCTCATTCTTTCTCCATCATTAGCCTGATTGATATCTGATCAGAGGTAGTTACTCCACCTCACCAAAAGTGTGATGTGAGCTACCATTTTAATCATGCACTTTGAGACCAGGTGAATTTTAAATAACATGAAAACAATGGCTAAAACTCTCAGTTTTAAACAATGAAACATGAGATTTCTTTCATAAATTTCAAAATATGATAGCCAGGAAATATTCTAGAAAACACTAAGGTATGATCCGGCTGCTTTTGTGAAGCTACTTACTGATCTCCCACTACTTCTGTTGTTATCTATAAAGTAGCAGCTGGTATATATGATTCAACCTTAAGAATTTTTAAAAAACAAGAAACTAGGGCCCAGTGCAGAAGCCTAGCAGCTTAAGTCCTTATCTTGAATGTGCGCACTGGGATCCCATATGGGCACTGGTTCTAATCCCAGCGGCTCTACTTCCCATCCAGCTCCCTGCTTCTGGCCTGGGAAAGCAGTAAAGGACGGCCAAAAGCCTTGGGACCCTGCACCCATGAAGGAGACCTGGAACAGGCTCCTGGCTCCTGGCTTTGCAGCACCTGGGGAGTGAATCAACAGATGAAAGATTTTCCTCTCTGTCTCTCCTCCTCTTTGTATATCTGACTTTCCAATCAAAATAAACCAATCTTAAAAAAAAAAGATTTATTAAAAAAAAAGAGCTGTAAGTCTGTGATGACTGTTACTGACATTGCGGACACATAAGCACAGGTGAGTGTATATTAGTTCCACCATCTCTGCAAAGCTTTAGGAGCAGATGTAATCTACTTTGAACACAAAAGCTACAAAGCATCAGCACTACAAAGCATGGACTATGTGGTCAGTAGACTCCATTTAGCATCTGGCCATCACCTTTCCCATCTAAGCGGCTGTCATTTCCTGAACACTTTTGTGTTACGCTATTCACACAAGCTTTCCCCACCTCTTTTCCAAGGGCATGTGCATTTAAACAATGGATATGTCTTCTTAAATAAGCAATGAAACGGCAACTGCCAAAAACCAGTGTTGTACTGCAAGAAAGGTGAGTCATTTCAAACCATAAGAACACTTTTAAATCTCTGCACTCCAAAATAAGGCAAAAATAAAAGAAATAAATCTGTACTCAAAAAGCTGAAAAAATTCATACTATCTTTTTAAATTAATACTAATTTTTGACGAGTTAGAGTTGAGAGCCTGACATCAAGCTATTATTCAGTTCAAAACGATTCAGAGAATTTTTAAATTAGGTAAACATAAGTTGAAAAAAAAAAGTACACATTAGTATCCAAATCAAATCAAGTGATGCTACATCTACTGCCCAAGGAAAGGGCTGGCTGAACGGCTGAAACGAACACGGGAAGACACAGCAATCCTGGCGTCAGGATACCATGGTACAAGGCCTCCCTTGCCACTCTACACTCCAGCCATCGCACATCCAGAGAACACGGGACAGGGCTTAGCAAACACGCGGACACAGCTTTTCACGTCCTTTTCGCTGGTTTGGCAGTTAGCTGCTTTTCTCTTTCAAATTCCTTCTCCCGCTGCTGCTCCCTTTCCAGCTCTTCTTTCTGCCTCTTCTGCTGTAGTTTCAGTGCTCGTTTCTGTATTTAAAAAAAAAAAAATAAAAACCTGGAGGACAATCAAGAATCATAAAGAACCATAGGCTAAGGTCTACAAGTAACATTACCTTAAAGTAAACAATATTTGTTATTGTGTTTGTTATTTAACTGTTTCAATGTGCTGAGGTTCCTATGATTCAAACAAAATCACTCCAATCACTTCTTATAAAAAGGGAACTGGAGCTACACTTCCACAAAATACAAGTATATCCGTCTAGCTGTAAGTGCAGAAACTCAAAGTGAGATTCGAAAATGCTGGCTTAAAAAAAGTATGTACTACGAATTAAATATGTTATTTGGAGATATAAAAACTAAAAAAATTTGAAGAATAAAATTCTTATCTTCATAAACGTATTTATATTTTCATACTTTTATAAAGAATGTGAAAGAATTTCCAACTCACTTTTAACTTTGATGTCTTCTCATGAAGCATCAGCATCTCTTTCCTTATGTTCACCAACTTGGCATGGTAATGTTTGGCCTCAGTGAACTTAACAGAAAAGTAAGCCAACAGTCAGTTTGAAATAGGCTGAAATATCAACATAGATAAATACGCTATGCTTGAATTGCAGCTCACTCTTCATAAATCAGTCAAGGTTTTCTAGAGCCTAATCTCTATACTTAAAATTCTGAAACAAAAGCTTCATTTAAACCATCAGTAGGATTTTGAAAGTGATTCAGCTCAGACAGGAAAAAAAAGCTAGTAAACAATGAAATAGACGTACACATCACACTGGGGACAGATACCATTTTGTATTAAAAACACAAAACATAATCCTAAATTTTCAGTGAGATGATTCAATCATGCTCAGTTTCATTTAAGGAAAGCAAAACACTCCCAAGTGCTGTTACAAGATGGGCACTGGGCCAGGTCACCCAGTACTGCTTAAGCAAAGTATGAGCTCAGAGGGAAGGTCCGCGCAGTGACTAGGGACCCCCGAGAGCACTGCGGACGGGCTCAGTGATGCTCCTTGGAGTTCTGAAGTCAGACAAGGAGAACACGCTCTGCAAAGACACTTTGCTTCCCAACGAGTTGTAAGTACAGATTTTCTATCTCAGCCAGCCTGCACAACCAAAAATGAAACTGGGAAGATGTTGCTGGCCAAATAAGTTGGAGAGAAGTTAAAAAAAAAAAAAAGCACCCTGTTCTCAACAGGAAGAGGAAGAATCAGAGAAGTGTCAGTAGGCAGCTTCACAGTTTAGCACTGCTACAAGTTAGACTCTGATGAGCTCTGAGCTGACAGACCCTCTCTGAGGGTCTCCAGGCCTTCTCGCTTTTCCATTCCCAGATGTAAAACTACTCTGTATCTGCCCCTGCAGACTGACTTAACAACCTTATGCTGCCTGGTTCATTCATTCATTAAACATTCTTCTACAGCAGCACAATTTCAGCAGTACACACAAAAGTAGGTCAGCATGGCCCTGCCCATCTCATCTGTAAGAAGTTAGGGTCCACCGGGCAGAAGATTCTGGACTCACTAACACAGGCCTCTGTCTAATCTAGAGGTATAAACTGTGCTTATTGACTGTATGGAAAGAAAATGACAACATACACATTTGCCAAATGAAAAGTTCTGTTACTGAGGTGAGTACAGATTTCTACAAAATTACTCAAGCCTACCTATTTCTGATATTTAAGAGAAAAATAAAGGCAGCAAAAAGTTCTTTTTCTTAAAAAGAGTATCAGTTCACCTCTTCAAAATGCCATACAGTTTGTGATTAAAGTTAATTATTCAACTATTTCTATCATAATATCTATAATAAGATTATTCTCAAACTGTCCACTTTAATCTACAGTATTAATTCATTATGGTGTTATGAATATGCCATACAATTACATAAAATTCTAGTTTAAGAAATCTGATATTGAGAGATTGCAGTTTCTTTAAGGGGAAGCATAGTATCACAAAACTTTGTTACTTTCAGTTCTTCTTTCTAAGTCTTAAACTATCAACACATATTTTCCAAAATCATAAATAGGTTAAATTTCCTATTACAAACTCAATATCTGAAAGATAACAATTTAAGACAATGAATATCCTAGTAAAGTACATCAATGTTTCCTGTTAAAAAGACAAATTCTAATTTTCAAAAATTAATGCACAAAATTCTAAACATACATACATAGTTGGCAAAATAAACTCAGCTGCTTCTACAACAAAACCGCCATTAAGCATTATCAACTAAGTCACACTTACCAAAGCATTAATGTCCAACATAGAATGGCATTCTTTAAATTTTGAAATCTCTTGTTCCAGTGTATCTAGTAAGACAACTTGGTTTTGTCTGAAACAGAAATAAAATAAAAATTTATTCCTGAAATTTAAAAAAATGAATTTATATTTTCTAAGTGCTGGCTCATTAAAAGGAATCACTTTCAGTTTAGTTACCATAAAGCTTAAAAATTAAGTTGGAAATTTATTGATTTGCAGAGGCTTACTGGGATTAGTATCCTCTTTCCCAAAACAGTATTCCAAAGACACATTCAGCTAACGAAATACTTTATTCTTGCCTCTAATAACTAAAGTGATCAAAACTATTCAAGGATATTTTCTACTTTAGCAGCATTCAAAAAAGTTTACCTAAAAAAATCTTAATATTCACATATCTTAAAGTTGCAGCATGTTCATAAAGGAAATGAGAAGCAAAGACTTTTCAAACTTGAGTTGACAACGAGGCCATGCTGAGGATATGTCAAGAGGGATAAATAAGCAGTAGGATGGAAGAGTATGATCACGCATCCTAACATTCCCCTGTCAACAGCCAACTGTGCTCTCATATTTGTAAATAACCCTATTATTCACAAAATAAGAAGGTCAGGCCAAGTAACTTCTAGATTCTACATTAAAACCTAATGAGGAAAACAAAACAAAACCTACTGAGGAAAAGAAACCAATGCCCTGATATTCCTCTCCAAACCGATACACGTGAGCATCACAGGAACAAGCAACACTAAGAGAGTCACCTAACTGGACTGATTTAAAACGTGCTACAGACACAGAAAAATGCAATGTGATTTGCTTGTTAAAAATTGTAGTAAGTGGTCCCGGCTCAGTAGCACAGCAGCTAAATCCTTGCTTTTAAACCACCAGGATCCTATATAGGCACCAGTTTGTGTCCTGGCTGCACCACTTCCCTTCCAGCTCTCTGTGGCCTGTGAAAGCAGTCAAGGATGGCTCAAAGCCTTGGGATCTTGCCCCTGTGTGGGAGACCTGGAAGAAGCTCCTGGCTACTGGCTTCGGATTGGCTCAGCTCCAGTCATTACTGCAACTTGGGGAGTAAACCAGCAGATGGAAAATTTTTCTCTCTTGTCTTCTCTCTTCTCTCTGTATATCTGCCTTTCCAATAAATACATCTTTTTTTAAAAAAGATTTTTTTATTTATTGGAAAGGCAGATATACAGAGAGTAGGAGAGACAGTGAGAAAGATCTTCCATCCGATGATTCATTCCCCAAGCGAGCGCAACGGCGATGCTATGCCGATCCAAAGCCAGGAGCCAGGAACTTCTTTCAGGTATCCCACACGAGTGCAGGGTCCCAAGGCTTTGGGCCATCCTTGACTGCTTTTTTAGGCCACAAGTAGGGAGCTGGATGGGAAGTGGAGCTGCCAGGATTAGAACCGGCGCCCATATGGGATCCTGGCGAGTTCAAGGCAAGGACTTTAGTTAGCCGCTAGGTCATGCCGCCAGGCCCTAAATAAGTCTTTTAAAAAAATTGTACCAAGTAGGGCCCGGCGTGATGGTGCAGTTGTTAAGGTCCTCGCCTTGCATGCCCGGGATCCCATATGGGTGCCGGTTCTAATCCTGGCAGTGCCACCTCCCATCCAGCTCCCTGCCTGTGGCCTGGGAAAGCAGATGAGGACGGCCCAAAGCCTTGGGACCCTGCACCTGCATGGAAAACTGGGAAGAGGCTCCTGGCTTCTGGCTTCTGATTGGCTCAGCTCCAGTCGTTGCAGCCGCCTGGGGAGTGAATCATCGGATGGAAGATTTTTTTTCTCTGTATATCCGCCTTTCTAATAAAAATAAAATAAATCCTTAAAAAAAATTGTACCAAGTAAAGAGCACTGATGAAAAAGGGAAATAGCGGGGCCAGAGCTGTGGTGTAATAGGCTAAGCCTCTGCTTTTGGCACTGGCATGTCATCTGGGCACCAGTTCAAGCTTCAGCTTCTCCAGTTCTGACCTAGCTTCCTATTATGGCTTGGGAAAGCAACAGAAAATGGCTCAAGTCTTTGGACCTCTCCACCTGAAGACCCAGAAGAAGCTTCTGGCACCTATCTTCGGATTGGCTCAACTCTGGCCATTGCAGCTTTATACCCAAAAAATTTGACAATGAATAGAAATTCCTTGAAAGATGCAACTACTAAAACTCACATGGGGAAAGACAGAAAACCTAAGCAGGCCTATATTAAATAAACTCAATCAGTAAGTAGTCATCTTCCAAAAAAATAGCAAGGCCAGATGGCGTCAGTGATTTTCAATCAAACATATAAGGAATGAATGATACCAAAAACAGAAGCAAAGGATGTACTTGCTGACTTACTCTATCAGGATAGTACTACCCTAAAACCAAAACCAGACAAAGGAAGAAAAAACTGCAGATGGGTAGCTCTCATGAACATAGATGTAAAAATCCTCAAACGAAAGGCTGACATTATGGCAGAGCGGATTAAGCCATCACCTGCAACACTAGCATTCCATATGGGCACTGGTTCCAAATCCACTTCTGATTCATTCGAATGTGACTGAGAAAACAGATGAAGATGGTCCAACTACCTGGGTCCTGCACACATATAGGAGACTCTGATGAAGCTTCTGGCTTCATCATTGTAGCCACTGGGAAGCGAGCAAGAGACGGAACTTCTTTCTCTGTCTCTCTGTAACTTTGCCTTTCAAACCCAACAATGTAAAAACAAGTTTTACTTGACAACCAAGTGAAATTTATTCCAAGTAGGCAAAGCAGATTCAACATTTGAAATTACTGTAATCTACCACATCAACAGACTAAAGACAATTTTTTTTTGGCTGCATCAATTAATGTAGAAAAAAACATTTGGCAACATCCAACATCATTCACGATTAAGAATACTCCCGATAAACTAGTCAAGGAGATGAACTTCCTCAATTTGATAAGGAACACCTAAAAAATCTACATCTAACATTATGCAGTGAGAAACTAGATACTTTGCCCTCGAGATCAAGAGCAAGGCATGTTTCCTCTCACGACTTCCATTCAACACTGTACTGAGTCCTAGGTCATACGGTAAGACAAGCAAAGGAAATCCTGTACCTAGGCAAGTGTTACAGTGCTGGGAGAAAAGCAGCCAAGGCTGTTGGACATTCTGGACCTGGTTAATGCCAAATCTGTGTTAACTACCTATTCTAATATGTGGGTAAGGCGGAGAATGCCAGGCCAGGACACATCACTCTGGCCCTCAGACGGGGGCAGCTGCAGATTGCTTAGGGAAACAGGTCCGGGAACATGCTAAAATGGGAGTGGAAGAGGGCATGTTTGACAGGGGAAGAATGGTTTCTTGGAGGTTTCCCTGGACCCAGCCACTGTTCTTGCAGGTAGGCAAGGGAGCTGAGGGAGTAGTTTAGAAGGTGGAACCAGAGGGCATGTCTGGGTCAGGCCAAGGCACCCACTCATGTAGGACCTGGGCTGAATTAAACAGCATCACCCACTACTCACTGGTGCATGTAAAAGCTGGGGCTGGGAGACATGCCTGGCTGGGCTAAGGCCACAGCACCCGCCCATGAGTGTCAAAACAGGGGTGGATCATGTCAAACTGGGCGCAGAACTGACCAGGCAGCTACATCCACCAGTATGTGCATTGGCTGGTGCAGATGATGGACCAAACCTGACTCTGCGCTGGCTGGCACACACAAGAGCAAAGACTGAGTCACCTCAAGCAGGGTTTCTTCAGGCAGTCCCCAACTAGATGGCTGAACTCAAACCCTGCTCACAGGGAAAATCACAGTATGTGTACTCCAACCTGGGAGTGCATGTGTCAGGACTCAGCCTCCTCACTTGTTGATATGTGTGCAGAGGATAGCATGCCCAGATGTAGACAGGGGACACAACAGCCAGCTCAACTAGGCCACCAGCAGAGGATGTCAGGCACCTGATCAGAGGATGGAAAGCAGAACAGGTTGGACAATTCTCCTAGCCAAGCTTTGCAACATGTTCCTGGACCTCTAGATGCATTAAGGTGGACTTGGTCAGCCAGTAGACCTTAGAAAAATTTTCTCATCCCTAGTGCAATGAAGCTAATGATGTCTTGGAACTATCAACACTCAAGTAGCACCCTTGGAACACTCTTCCTCACACTGGGGTCTCTCAGGCATTATCAAATGACTCTTCCCCATCCCCGTGTGCTGATATAGTTCGATAGCAAGGAGTGGACTCTTCACTTCTCCCACTGTGGACACATGAAAAATAAGGAAATGTTTGTCCTTCCTCCACATCTCAACTCTCCCCAAGCTAATCAGTTTCACATCGGTGTGCATCTCTCTCAACTACATAAACAACATTTAAAATAAAATTTAAAATTAATAAAGAAAAAAAAATTTTAATTTTAACAGACAAAAGATCTGAATAGACAGCTGTTGAATAATAATGATTCTTTCTCATAAATCCTTGGGTTTATACTAAGAAGGTGATTTATGCTATGTTCCTGTAAATACAAGATAGGGGGCTGGTCATGCCAGAAACACCATGTGACAAGAGGACTGGGGCTTTGAGTTATGTAGTGTCAATTCAACCTTGAAGGAGAGAGGGCTGTAGATTGAATGCTTATGCCTAGGTGTTAAAGTCTGAATAAAAACTCAGGATAGTAAGATTTGGTGGGACAATGGGAATACTCTGACACTCAAGGAGGCCCCAATTTCACTGAGAGGATACAGAAACCTCTGTGCCTGGTGCCCTCACAGACTTTACCCTATGTGCCTCTTCATTTGGCTAGTTCTGATCTGTAGCCTTTAAAATACAATCGTAAATCTGGAGATCAGCATTGTGGTGAAGCAGGGGTCCCCTGCCACCCATCTGGGGGACTAAGAATGGAGTTCTTGGTTCATTGCCCTTACCCTGGTCCAGCCACAGCTGTTTGGGGGCATTTGGAAAACACAACAGCAAATGAAAGACTTTCTCTTTTACTTCTTTCCTCCATCCGCCCTCCCTCTGTCTTTCTCTCACTTTTCCTCTGCTTTTCAAGTATTTTAAAAACCCTATAATTATAAATAAAAGCGCCTTCCTGACCCACAAATCTGTACACTGGAGAAGTTTCCAACACTGCTACTTGCAAAACAACGGGACAGAAAGGATGATTGCATTTCCATGTTTCTGAGGCTTTGTGTAATCTGTGGTAAAAATGCTGAGAGTGAAGGTGAAGCCCTGATGCTGCCTATGTCTGAGGAACAACTCCTGGGAGAAAAGAGATCCTCTGGGCTGGCATTGTGGCACAGCGGGTAAGCCAATACTTGTAATGCTAGCATCCCCTGTGGGTGCTGTTTATATCTTGGTTGTTCCATTCTCAGCCAGCTTGCTGCCAACATGCCTTGGAAAGCAGCGGCTGATGGCCCAAGTACTTGGGTTCCTATATCCATGTGGGAGATCCAGATGAAGCTCCCAGCCCTGGTTCCTTGTTCCAGCCTGCCCCAGCCCTGGCCACTGTGACATTTTGGGGAGTGAACCAGCAGATGGAAGATAGATTGATATCTCTCTGTGTAACTCTGTCTTTCAAAAACTAAACACAATCTTTAAGAAATAACCAGAGGAGGAATGAAAAGGGAAGGGGAGGGGAGCAGAAGGGAAGGGATCAAAACCTTACTTACTAATAACTGCAAAACAGGCCTAACTGATTATTTCTCACCTTTAAGGTTTCTCACTTTTAAGGAGAAAAAAATGTTTCTCCAAAACCTGATAAGGTTTCTGAAATAATTTTTTAAAGAGTGAGTCTTCAAGCAGTGGCAATTTATAACCAGTTTACAGGTGATCACCAAATAGAGAACTGACAGGCCAACCAGAGCAGTCCAGAGAGGAACCGACCCGGCAGGAAGCAGAAGCCAAGTCTGTTCTCTGGGTAGATGAATGAAGTCACAGCATCTATTTTTATACACTGATACTACTCGATGGATTCTACCTAATCCTGTTCTCTTAGTATATCCTCCAGCCCTTTTTATCCTAGTAGAGTTATCTCCAGGGAAGCAAACAGGACATTTAAAAAATTATATACTTAAGGATCTCTGGTAAACTCATATGAACCAGCAGCCAAAAACTGAAAAAGCGAAGCCATGATGGAGGCAGTTTTTCAGTTCTGTTTAGGAATGTGTATACCCATCCTGCAACAATCCCTGAAAGGCAACACTTTTATAGAAACAAAACAAACCAGACTAGATAAGAGTTGCAGTGATTCTTAGAAGAGATCACTCTAGCTGTATTCAGCTTGCCTTCCACATTTAGATTACCTTGTGCTCCTCCACTTCCACAGCATACTCTAAATGATTAAACACTACAAAGCATTAACCTTTGATGGTGCACACAGTTATACAGTGCATTGTGACTATTCCACAGAGTAAATGAGCACAGATGAGGGTGTCTGTCAGCTTACGTGAGTTCCTGGAGGGCTTGTTTTGATCTTTGCAGGTCTGGCAAGTAGTGCGAAAGCAATCCTTCGGCCAGCTGCTCCACAGCTCTGTCTTCTACACTCAGGTCCTCTATTAACCCTTCATCCGGAGAAGCATCACTCAAACCTGGCCCCAAGCAAAAAACACCTTTAGGAAGCCTTAAAATGGACACTGTTATGAGAGCAAGAGTGGACAGAAAGCAGGGCAGGAGTTGTACTGCGGAGCTGAGAACATGCACCCACTTTCCCAGCCATTCTTCTTTTCCTTTTAAACTTGTACCTCTGATATTTCTAAAAAACAAAAACAAAAACAGGAGCACTCACAACTAGTGTTAGTTATACTCTAGAATAAAAGACTACAAAGAGACCAGCACCATAGCCTCCACTTGCAATGCCAACATCCCATATGAGCACTGGTTCCGGTCCCAGCTGCTCCACGGCTGCTCCATTTCCAATCCAGCTCAACGATAGTGGCATTGGGCAGCAGAGGAGGATGGCATAAGCACTTGAGCCACTACACCCACATGGGAGGCCCAAAAGCCTAGCTCCTGGCTTTGGACTGGCACAGCTCTGGCCACAGCAGCCACCTGGGGAGTGAACCAACAGATGGAAGACCTCTCTGTTTGCCTTACTTTCTTAATTCTGGCTTTCAAAAAACAACAAAATTACTATATTTATAATTTTGTTGGGGGATTAGCATTATACAGTAGGTTAAATATTGCTTCCGAGGCTGGCATCCCATAAGAGTGTCAGTTCAAGCCTCTATTTCTCTGTTTCTGATCCAGTTCCCTGCTAATCCAGCTGGGAAGACAAAAAATAGCTCAAAGGCCTGGCACAGTAGCCTAGTGGTTAAAGTTCTTTCCTTGCAAATGCCAGGATCCCATGTGGGTGCTGGTTCATATCCTGACTGCTCCACTTCCCTTCCAACTCTCTACTTGCGGCCTAGGAAAACAATAGAGTATGGCCCAAAGCTTACACCCATGGGAGACCCAAAAGAAACTCCTGGCTTCTGATCAGCTCAGTTCTAGTCAGTACAGCCAGTTGGGGAGTGAACCAGAGGATGGAAGATCTCTTTCCCTCTTTTTCTCTCTGGAAATCTGCCTTTCCAATTAAAAAAAAATAGATACACTTTAAAAAAAGATGCTATATGTTTTTCAGAGGATTTATGGTTTTTAATGAGTCAAAAAGTATAAGGCTGAATTGAAGTATTCTTGCTTTCAAAAGAATGCAGAAATTATATAAACAAAAATGCAATACTTAAAAACATGTTTTCTATTCTGCGAGTGTCGGCAGCGGCTGCAAAGACCGGAGTTTGGCGCGATGTCTCACACCATTTTGCTGGTACAGCCGACCAAGAGGCCAGAAGGCAGAACGTATGCGGACTATGAGTCTGTGAACGAATGCATGGAAGGTGTTTGTAAAATGTACGAGGAACATCTGAAAAGAATGAATCCCAACAGTCCATCAATCACATATGATATCAGTCAGTTATTTGATTTTATCGACGATCTGGCAGACCTCAGCCGCCTTGTTTACCGGGCTGACACCCAGACATACCAGCCTTATAACAAAGATTGGATCAAAGAGAAGATCTATGTGCTGCTCCGCCGGCAGGCCCAGCAGGCGGGAAAGTAATGGAGTTGGCCGCAGTATGGGGCTGGGGGTGGGCTTGGAACACAGATGTGTACAGCCAGCTGTAGTGGGGGTTTTATATTATAACAATCCTGTTTCCATTTTGTTACACTTTAGCCAGGATTGAATGTATTACAGGAAGTGTGAGGCTCTTGTTCAATCTGCAACCCCCAATGCCTCTTTTTTGTTTTTTTGCTTTTTGTTGTTTTTTTTTTTTTTACTGAAAACATTTTTATGAGGATTTAGATGGAGATTTTTTTTGTCAGTTAATATTGGTTCCAGAACTTCAGACTGTTGAGATCTGCTTTTGTGACAGTCACTATACTAACCCTTGGAGACGGGATGGGGGGTGGCTCAGTTATGCCCTTAAGACAAACTCTTACTGGAAAATAAATGTTGTTTAGTTATAAAAAAAAAAAAAAAAAAAAAAGAAGATTCTGTATCTTTTTCAGGACAGAGGGTTTATGCTTTTTAATGAGTCAAAAAGTGTAAGGCTGAATTAAAGTATTCTTGCTTTCAAAAGAATGCAGAAATTATATAAACAAAAACGCAATACTTAAAAACATGTTTTCGGGCCCGGCGTGGTGCAAGTGGTTAAAGGTCCTCGCCTTGCACACCCAGGATCCCATATGGGCGCCGGTTCTAATCCCGGCAGCCCTGCTTCCCTTCCAGCTCCCTGCCTGTGGCCTGGGAGAGCAGTTGAGGACGGCCCAAAGCTTTGGGAGCCTGCACCCGTGTGGGAGACCCGGAAGAGGCTCCTGGCTTCGGATTGGCATAGTATCGGCCCGTTGCGCTCACTTGGGGAGTGAATCATCGGACGGAAGATCTTCCTCTCTGTCTCTCCTCTCTGTATATCCGCCTTTCCAATGAAAAAATAATAAAAATAAATCTTTAAAAAAAAAAAAACATGTTTTCTATTCTGCAGAAACAAAATATTGGCCAATATCTATTTTGCATATAATTGAATATATTATATCCAGGTAAAGGGGAGTGTTTTTGTGATTTGTTAGCGAAGAGAGATTTTCTAATTCCCCCTCTGTTAAGATTCCTCATCTTGGGTCGGGTAGCATGGCCTAGCAGCTAAAGTCCTTACCTTGAATGCACTGGGATCCCATATGAACACCGGTTCTAATCCTGGCATCTCCACTTCCCATCCAACACCCTGCTTATAGCCTGGGAAAGCAGTTGAGGATGGCCCAAAGCTTTGGGACCTTGCACCCGTGTGGGAGACCAGGAGGAGTTTCCTGGCTCCTGACTCCTGGCTCCTAGCTCCTGGCTCTGGATCGGCACAGCACCAGCCACTGCACTCACCTGGGGAGTGAATCATTGGACGGAAGATTTTCCTCTCTGTCTCTCCTCCTCTCTGTATATCTGACTGTAATAAAAATAAATAAATCTTTTAAAAAATTTCCTCATCTTAATATCCTGTAAAAATAATGTAGAGTTATTGTCTTTTGTGTAAATTTAGTCCTGACCCAAGAATCAACGCTTGATCCTCTCCCTTGAATAGTAAATGGGTAAGCATTATGTCAGGCATTCAAGAGGATGAATATCTAAGTTGAAAGAAATGTATGAATCACTATTTCTATCAAGAAAAGTAAAAAACAATTTCTAAATTGGATTCAAGTAAATCTGTTTTATTTTTCTCCTTTCTCTTTTTCCTCCTCCCAACCCTACCCCTGAGAGAGAAAAAAAGAGAGCTCTAATCTTCTCATTCATTTTCCTGAATGCCTGCAATATCCAGGGCAAGGTAAGTCTGGGCCAAAGCCAGAAGCTAGAAATTCAATGCAGGTCCTCCACATGGGTCACAAGAACCTAAGGACTTGAGCCATCACCACTGCATCAGCAAGAAGGTGGAGGCAGAGCCCAAGGTGACCACTGAACCCAAGGAACCCAACGTGGCACACAGACTGCATCAATGCTATGCCAGATGCCTACCCCGGGTTTAAAAGATTTCAGAATCACAGGTTTTAAAAAAAAAAAAGTTAAGATGCCACTTAGCTAGAACTACACTATCAAATCACTTTTGTTTGTTTTTGTTTTGTCAAATCACTTTATACTTATTATAACACCCTGAAATACCTCCAATCACAGTCTGGTAGCAACAAGAAGCATGGAAATATTTATCACAGTGCACTGCTTATTAACACAGTTCTATATTAATCTTTAACCCCCGATTTAAATTTTTGTCAGAATGAAGGATATAACATATTTTTATCTGAATCCTAAAAACACATAAACAAACACTGTAATGCTTACATTTACAATATTTAAACAGGTAAGAGCTAGCTAGCTTGAAACTGAAACTCTGCACGCACACACACACAAACATAGTGGAAAAAGTGAAGCACTTAAGTCACAATGTGTCATCAGATGGGAACTGATTAAATTATATCTGGCAATTAATGTCACTGCCTAAGATTTGATTACAGTAATAGTGCAAACACCAATTTTTTAAAGTAAATATAGCAAACTTCAGTATCAGAAATAAACTAAGGATTAATCACTAATTCACTTCTTTTACAAATATATTAGCTTGTGGGCATGCTCCACTTCCAAGTCTTCTGGTGGATTATTGGACAAGTCTTGGAGATATATATATATATATATATACATATATATATGCAAGGTAAGTTATTGTGGGGAAGTACAGAAGAAAGTCACCCTTCCCTATTCATACAGGGAATAATCCCCGAATGTCTGTTACGCAGTGGTTCTGAGGCCATAACCATAAGGCAAATCTAGTCCTCATGCCCAGAAGGCATTGGGGACTATGAGGAGTGCCATTAGAGAAACACTAACAGCTGTGGGAATGCAGAGGAGAGGAAGGTCATGTCCAGCTGTGCTATCCACTTGTAAATCAGCTCTGGACCTTTCAGCCAAGGTTCCAAGTGTCACTCAGTGTAAAAACTTAAAACACTATGGAGAAAGGCACAATGAAAAGTAAAAATACTGTTCGTCATCCCTCAACTCCAGAAGGAATTACTTTGGAGTTTCTTACCTACGTTCCACAAAGTGTCTCTACATGCCCATGGACATACTCTTTATTACAAATAGTCCTCATCCTGCTCTTTGCATTTTCCTATTAAATGTGTCTAGATGTCTGTGTATACACATATACGGGATCTGACACATTCTTTTTTAATGATACAATTCTGCCACAGTTTGTTTAACCAGTCCACTATGAATGGATCGCTGGGTTATCTTAACCCTTTGTGATTTCAAACAATGCTTCAGTGAGCTTATCTTTGTATATTAGTGTCACTGCTCCACTAACATTAGTTCCTAAAAAAAGTCTGTTGAGACAAAAAGTTATGCACTCCCTAAACAACATGCCAAAGCTGTCCTCCTGGAAGACAGGATCAGTTTACACTTCCAGCAACCATCTATGAGGACTGTTTCCATGACAGGAATGGAAGGGACAGAACACGCAGCCTGAGGAAAGATGGGCTTGCAGGCTTGCTCTGGAGGGAAGGTCTGGAGCGCCCAGCCAGGCCTTTACACACGGCCACAAGGAACTATGTGTTAGGCTGTGCTGCCAGCCAGGGCACGGCCTCCACTGTCAAGTTAACGGGTCTGGACTTTGTCTTAAGCAGCAAGAAGCCACTGAAGATTTCTGAACAAAGGACAGACGTCACTACAGCTTGGTCCCAGCAGTGATGTATCAGCAGATGGACAGGTGAGCTAGACTAGCAAGAGATAGGAAGTGGGTTAGCTTTACAACTGCTGTTTTGAAAATACAAAGAGGAAGTGAAAACTGTACAGGAGAGAGCCCTAAACAGAAATGGAAGACAAGAAAGAGGAAAGACATGGGAGCAGCTTCAAACTTTCAAATAAGAGTCACTTGGCATTATCAACGTAATCAGACACCAGCTTTTATTTATGCCCTGTGTCAACTAGGACAAGCCAGAGTAAGGAGAGGAGCCCAACACGAAACACATGCAGCTGGCCTCTGACCACTGATGGTTCAACCTCATGGTGTCGGTAAAGTCACCTGTGTTCAACAAAATCCAAACTTCAGATTATGAATTTTAATGCTTCCTCGGGTACAGTGCACAGTAGGAATTTCTGGTAAGGCCCATATCAGGAGGGTGCATAAACAACTTGCAGTGCCCTCTGCTAAGTTACGTTTGTTAGGCTGGGTGCACTTCAATTTGTGGTATTTTCAACTTAAGTTGGACTTCCTAAACAATCCCATCAGTGCACAAAGAAGTCTTATTCATAGACGTGAAATATGAAATATGAAGAGGAAGAGATCACAAGGAAAAACCAGTGGCAGGGAAAGGCGAAGAGCACTGCTTTCTGGAACAGACTTCAGGGGCTTGGGGAAGAGCAGACAGCCAAAGCTCTGCAGCCATCCTCATCTGTGGCACAAAACACAGAAAACGCTAAGTGGTAATGTTGGTTTTCTCGAAGATGGGGCACACAAGCCAAGCTAACTTATTGCATTCAGGGGACGCCTTGTGGCATAGTGTCTTGAGCCTCTCCTGGAATTCGAGCTGAGAAAAGACTGTCCGAGGAATGTCAGGAAGAAAAGCACATTTCATGAGTGCTCACATTATTTCTCTGAATTAGAAAGAGATCATCGTTCGGACGAATCCATTCCCACCACTATCATGACAAGCGGTCAACGACCGGCCAGAGAGCACCAACAAACTCCCCCTCAGGGTCGCCAACCGCACCGGGACCCATGGCTTCCCCGCCCCTCGCTCCAGCCCGACCTCCGCCGCTCCCGGGAGGGAGGTGGCTGGCGGGTCCCACCCACTCGCACCGGGCCCTGCCGCACGTACCCGGCATCAATTCCCTGGCCTCCAGGCTGCCGGGCGGCCCTGTCAGGACCCCGTCGGGGGACGGCGGCCCGGGGACGCTCATGTCCCTCCCACTGGGAACAGGCCGGCGGCAGTCCTGAGGGATTCAGACGCGAGGAGAGAACCCAGCGCCTTCAGCTCCCGACCGGAATGAAGTGACAGTCGCACCCGGAAGTTACGGAGGCGGAAGGCGGCGACTGGCGCACGTGATGGCGGTTCGGGCTCTGCCCTACCGCCATGGGCGTCCAGAACCTGCGTGTGCCTCCGTCGTGGGCTCGGACCCCGCCGGCGAGCCAGGGCGGGTCGGGGCTGCGCCTCGGGGGGCTCTTGAAGACCCGGAGAGCCGCGTCGTGGCGGGACGCGACGAGCAGTCCGTCCGGTCGTTCTCCGGGCTGCGTGCTTTGCCTGCGGTTTGGACCATCTTAGAAATCCTGGGTCCAGCTCCCTGTGAGCTTCAGCCTTGTTATTTGGGGCTACCCGTCCCCGCCCCCCGTTTTGGTCTCCCTTTTGTTAATTGTGCGATGGAACACGTAGTGAATGGACATACTCTGCCAAATTTTCTAGAAACTGCACTTGAGCCATAAATATTGATGAGAAATGAGCAGAGGTGGCTGCCGGACCGAATAAGACTTTCCATCTCAGACCTTTGGGCTGCCCATGTGGACTCCCCTTTGATCCCCGTGCCCCAAAAGCCCCAGACTCCCTGGCTTTCCTAGTTATCCAGCTTGAACAGTAATTTGCCTCATATTCTTAAAATCCTTCTGTCCTGTCCTGTCCTACCGTGCTCGCCTTATTCCAAGCCCTGCCAATCGGAACTTGCCTCTCCAGCCATTCAGCATGCCAACTTTCCTAGCTAATCCATTAGGTTTTCCCAAAGATCTGGCAGGAAAGCAAATTTGAATGATGTCTGCCTATCCACTTAGGCCAATAATAAAGTCTTGCTTTTCAAAGGCCTGGGTCATTGATTTTGTGTGTACACCAGGCAGTGGTAGCCTCCTAACCCTCCCTGATTCTGCCTGTTTGATCCATTTCCTGTGCTACAGTTAAAGCAGTCTAAAGATGTGGCAAGCCTCAGGCTGGCAGGGGCTCTGTGTTGCCCCATCACTGCATTCATAGCCTTTCTTCTTTTGACTTCTTTGCCACTCAAGATTAGCTCCTCCTTACTACCCGTGGTAGGCCAAATAATAACCTCCTCAAACATGCCCACAGGCCAAGTCCTAGAAACCTGTGAAAGGTAATTAATTTCAAAAAGATGGTAACAGGCATTTAGGCTAGCCATTATGATGTCTGCATCCCACAGTGGAGTGCCTGAGTTTGGGACTCCCAACTTCCCACTGAAGCAGACCCCAGGAGGCAGTGGTGACAGCTCCAATGACTGGGATCCTGCCACCCACATGAGGCACCTTGATCATGTTCCCAACTCCTAGCTTGAACCCAACTCGGCTCCATTTGCTGCAGGTACTTGGGGAGTGAACCAGCGGATAGAAATCCCTCACCCTCCCCCCCCCAGCCTGCCACTCTTCCCACCTTTAGATATATATATAAAGAGCTCAGCTTATTCCAGTAGAGCCAGTCACAAGGACCTTTAGTACTGGGCAAGGGAGGCTGTGACTATGAGGAATAATTACAGAAACACCATGGCTGGCTCCAGAGCCTGAGGAAAGGAGCCCAAGCCAGCGTGACGAGGGACCTCCAGAGGCCGGGAATGGGAGGAAACTCCCCTTGGGACCTCAGTAATGGAATTCAGCTCTGCCAACACCTTGATTTTCCCCTGGTGTACCTGCGTAAGCCCTGCAGAAGATAATGTAAGATAATGTGTGATGATCTGCTGCTACAACAGCGGGAAAGTCATGCTTGGCCTTCCAACAGCTTTCAGTCCACCTAAGCATCTCCTAACTGCCCTCTCATGACTGGCTCATGCTTCAACTTGGATTTAAAGACCTGTTCATCCTTCAAGGATCTCCTTATAAGACTTTCCTTGAAAAATCACAATTCCACTTCCCTTTTCATTCAGAAGTAACTAAAAAACATTATTCTGCTTAACACCTAATTCATTCCTGTATATCAGTTATTTCTTTTGTATTCCTTCACTATTTTACTCTCCAAACAGAAACTCACAAAAAACTATAATAGGTTCTTGGTAAAAATTTTGTAAATGGGTAAGGTACTAATTCGGTAGCCGCAAAATCCAAATACCTCCAAAATCTGAATTATAGAATACTTCAATAATCTCCAAACCTGACATACTACCTGGCAATCTTGAGTATTAGTGTTCCTTCCCAACTACATTTAAAGGCCCTTTAGCATAGACCCAAGTCTTTTGGGTAGATCTGTAACCTGTTTATCTCTTAGCACAGCAAGAATCTATTCCATGGATTTTAAAATATGAGTTATTTGAACTGAATCGGAGCATTGTAAACTGTTACATCTTGCCTACTTAAAAAAAAAAAAAAGATTTATTGGAAAAGCAGATTAACAGAGAAAAAGAGAGACAGTGTAGGAAAGATCTTGCCTCTGATGGTTTGCTCCCCAATATACTCCCCAAATGGCTGCAACAGCCAGAGCTGAGCTTATCCAAACCTGGGAGCAGGAGTCTCTTGCAGGTCCCCCACATGGATGCAGAGTCCCCAGGACTCAGGACATCTTCCACTTCTTTCCCAGGCTGTAAACAGAGAGTTAAATTGGAAAAGGAACAGCCGGGATATGAACCTGCGCCCTGCTTAAAGATGAAGGATTAGACTGTTGAGCCATAATACCAGTCCCATGTTATGCCTATTTCTTTTACATTATTTGAAGGAAAAATTCCTTGTTTAGAATTGGGTGAATGTTTTCAGCATTTTTCACTTAATATATCTAAATGTAATCAGCTAAACAGATGAGAAGGACTTTCTACCAGATCCATCTTGATTTTCATTTTCTCCTTTTTATTTTTTGAAATTTATTTACTTGAAAGGCAAAGTTAGAGAGAGGAAGAGATCTTCCATTCATTCACTGGTTCACTTCATTCATTGGTTCACTTCCCCAAATATCCAGATACCTAGGGCTGGGCCAGGCTGAAGCCAAGAATTCCATTCAGTTCTCTCAGGTGAGTGGCAGGATGCTTGGCATTTTCGGCTGTTTTCCCAGGCACATCATCAGGAAGTTGTATCAGAAGCACCTGGGACTGGACCCAGTGCCCATATGGGATGCCATACTATGGGTGGTGGCTCAACCCACTGCACCACAGTGCTGGCCCCGTCCTTTTTTCAGAAAAAAAAATATTTTAGTTGAATTAAAATTTACAGAAAATGTTTTTTGAAATAAAGATTTTGCAGAGATAGGAGAGAGAGAGAAAGAGAAATGTCTTCCATCCACTGATTAAGAGCTGAGCCTATCCAAAATTAAGAGCCAGGAACTTCTTTCTGAGTCTCCTACAAAGACCCAAGGAATTTGGCCATCCTCTGCTGGCTTCCCAGGTCATAAACAGGGAGCTGGATTAGAAGCAGGACTCAAACTGGTGCCCATATAGGATGCTGGTGAAGAACCTTGGTGTTTTCTGCTTTTTTGATTTCTGCCTTAATTGCTTGGCTGGGGGCTGTGTGAACTCCAGGTCTGACAGCCTATGTGACACCCGGCAGGACACCTGGCAGGTCATGTAGGCAGAGCGCTCCTCAGGAAGGAAGTACCTGGTGTTTGATAAGACCCACTACCCTATAGCCCATCAGTTTATGCTTTTTGAAAGTTGCTTGCCTCAAACCCACCAATAGAAGCCTGCCAACTTGCTCTTTTTGAAAGTTAACAGTCAAACTGACCAATCATGACTGTATAGTTATATGGAATTGTCCTGAAATGTGTAAGAACCCTGTGCTGTTCAACTGCCCCTCCCCTGCCAGGCTCTGCTAGGTTAACCTAAATAAACCACCTTTATGTGTTAGCATCAACCTCAGACTCAATGATTTTCTGGGGATTTCAAAATCCAGCACAACACTGGCACTGCAGGAGGGGGATTCACCAGCTATGTCACCATACTGTCTGCTGCTGCTTTTTTTTTTCTTTTCTCCCTTAGCTTCAAGATTTCAACTCAAAGCATCAAGTGCTGGCTAATTATTCATGATGCTTTTGTTTCCAGTAAATAGGTGCCATGCACCTAACACTGCATGTGACATGGATCTCAAAAACAAAATGTTGGAATGTAGCGGGAAGAATGCCTTTGATTACCCCAATCTTTTGTTTGTACCAAATTGTAAGCAACTTCCAACATCTGAATGAATGAATACCTAAGACTAGTGAGGCACTACAGGAAATTCCTAAATTTCTATTTCCAGTCCACTGGGAATTTATATTCTACCATTTACACATGGTAAAATTTTTTAGCATGATAAGAAAAATGCTAAATTATGTGCAGCAGAACTGGAGGACTGGGAAGGGCATAACAATGTGTTCATTTCCCATGGCTGCTGTAATCAGCTCTCACAAACACAGCACTTTAAAAACCACACTTCCTGTCCCCCAGTTCTGGAGGTTAGAAGTATGGAATCGGTATTGGCTGGCGAAGCTCAAGATATCAGTGCATCGTTACTTCTGAAGCCACCCGGGAAGAATGTACTTCCCTCAAATGTCTTTCCCACCCTCTAGAGGTTTCTACTTTCTTTAGACCCTGACCCCATCATGAGGCTTTTCTATCTCCCACCCCAATTCCACTGTCACATCACCCCCTCTTGTACTCTGATCCTCCTTGCCTTCTTCTAGGTACTCTCATGATGACACTGGACCCACCTGCTCAACCTGCACAACCCAGGATAACCTCATTTCAGGAACCTTAATTTAGTCACAGCTAAAAAGTCCCTTTTGTCATGTGAAGTAATAGACTACCAGGAACCGAACAGGTATATCTTTGTGGGGTCAGGGCGGGGCTACAGGCACTGTTTAGCCATCACATGTGTGCACTTGTGAAGTTCCAAGGTATTAACTGTCTTTGGGGGAAGATTAAAAATAACACAGATTAAATGGTTAGTAGAAGAAACTAACAGAGAAAGGTACTGCATAACCTGTTACACCAAAAGAATTTTAGAATACAGAGGCAGGCTTTGGCACAGTAGTTGAAATACCACATGGATACCTGCATCCCAAATCAAGAAGCCTGAATTGGAATCCTGACTTCATTTCTAGTTCAAGCTTCCTGCTAATGCACACCCTGCAG